CTTCGGTGCCTGGATGGACAGTAGAGCGCATTCATTCGTTTGCATTGCGAAGTCTCAGCGCGCTCTTTCTTAGGTGGCTGGATTTATAAGATGGTCTGCTATCACCTGTGAAGAATACTGGGAGCGTGAGTGGGAGAGTAATCTGTAGCTAGTACGTCAGAGACAGCTGATGAGAACGGACTTTTGCAAGTCCTGGAGCGCAGGGCACACAGCCGCGGTGGAAATCACGAGTGTCATGTCCAGCCGTGAGCGCGGGAGGGGGGGGGGGCGTAGGGCTTATTGGAAGTTTGAAATAGCAGCGACACTTAGATGTCGCCAGTCACTGAATGATAAGAAATTCATTCATGCATTTTATTGTGAAGAATACCTAAAGACAGAGGCAAGCTGCAAGCCAGTAGATAATGGGCGGCGACAAGAGTTATTGTAACTGCGCACAATGATGTCGTGAAGATGCTCTCAAAACTTTGGCTGTACCAGTTCAGCCTTATCTGGGAGTTGCACCTTTCCAACGCCTCTGCTGTGGGTGTAGGAACTCTTCCACTTATGGGCGTGGCAAAAAAACGGAAGAGCTTCTGCAAGTGCACTAGATTCCGTCACTGTTTTTGGTTTTGCAAGAGGTCACACATGAGGAGTGACCATGACTGTTCAAAGCGTGAAAGTTCATAGGTGACACTAGCTAGCAACGACGATTTCACATTGGGTGTATCTTTCGAAGGTGTTTAACTGTTTAAGCACAGTTACATCACCGAACCTAGAGTTCCGCGACCTTTTTCCAGCTTCGAAAGTTTTACACACAGGAAAGTCCTAAATATTCAAGAATTGCTTGATTTGCTGGCCCATTTGCTGATTTGCTTTGGAAGCTGTAGCGAAATAGCGTGCTCCAGTACACTGACAGAAAGCGTGCTCCGGTACATCTTATGAATGCGCGCGTACAGTCAATCCAAGTATTCGACTCGATATCGTCTCATTTGGTTTTCGGGGGAGGGGATCGTATTCAGCAGAAATTTTACACAACGAACTGGTGTGCCCGCTGGAGCGTTTGTCGAAAGCATGATGAAAAAAATGAGACCGTACTCAGCGTCACTGGATGAGTGCGACGTGGAAGTAGAGCGTTGACGGATTCGATTCTTTCGTTGCTGTATCATAGCTGTGATACGAAACACTGATGGTGAATCGAAGTCCACGTAACATCTTTCCTTCGTACGTTCGAGCTGAAAAATTGAAATGCGTGCTGCACGCAGTGTTCAAATTGTTTCATTAGAACATTCTCCCCATGTCACTTTCCATAGGTTTCCCTTTGCGACTTGCTCAGCTCCTACCCCTCATTTTTCCCCCTTTCCCTTGCCAGCGCCAAATCTCAGGTATCTATTTTAAGTGTAAGGTAAGGTACCCGAAGAACTGAGGGGCGGAGATACGTGATGATACACATTGATGGGCGTAAAAGGGTGAAGTGCCAGTCGTTGGTTAATCCCTCCTGGTATGCGGCACGCATTCTACTTTCATTCACAATCGTAGTGGCATTTTGAAAAAGATTTGGTCTATGCAATGACTTATGGGAGGCAGCCGATGTACAATATTTACATCTTCGCCGACAAGTCTGGTACCAATTTGTCGTCCTCGGAGGCTAGAAGGCTCGGTTGACCTCGCAAGGGGCGATTCGGGATTTCTGCTGTTTCGCGCACGTGGTCACCATATTTCTTGCTAGTGCACCCCTGCGCCTTTCGCCTATTGACTTGTAAATGGGATAACGAGTTAAGGAGCATCCCATTTTCTTCATTCGTTTGTAGTGGTAACTTAACCTTCGTTACGCCATGTTTTGATCATAACTCCGGAGAAAGAGCCTTTTTCCCATTTACATCATGGAAACCTAGATATTGATTGATTAACGCTGTTCAGATGGCTTTTCTGGACTGCTCTCTGTCTCCAGTTTTGCCGTCACGCATCGCCTGTGCAGCTACATACATCGCTGCAAAGTTATGTGATACGCCTTACGATAGCGAAACAATGAGGTAATTGCAAAATTTCAACATTTTGTTAGGTAAATTGCGTCGAGTCAAATCTTTGATTCAGAAAACTGACGGGTGTCACGTTGCGGGAGACCGAAGAGCTGGTGGGCATGTTTGCGAAAGTGATTCTGAGGCTACATTCATTACCAAAATTGGTCGCTGTGCGCGAAAAGTACTCATCGGCTAAGGTATTGGCCGTATCGCAGCTGTATGACAGCGATATCAAAGTCCTCACTGAACTTTCATCTTGAAACCTTTCATTGTTGTTGTTGTTGAACCACCTCATTTCGCAAGTGTAACTTGTCAATCTTATGTGTGTTGCACCGCCTAGTACTAGTGAAGGACTCACCTGATTCATGGTGCTCACATTCTCAGCAAACGTGTATTATGTATTTAAAGTGCGAGATCGCGCCGCTCTATATAGAATATTGGACTGTTCTCGACTCAGAATGTATAAAAAGATAGTCGCTACTGATTGTAGGCACTTTTATTTGTTGGTTTTTGTCTTTCTAATCTATTTGCCAAATTTGGATATCACAGTGTTGCAAACTGCCATCACGGCATCTCTGTGCTATAATTTTATTAATACATATTGTTCACCTTCATCTTATTTTCAGGTTATACCTCATTTTCCAATGGGAAATTGCCCATTGTGGCTCTATTTATTGATTCCTTGAGCATTGATTCTCTTTCACATAAACCTTTCTGATGGCTGTCCTTGGATGTGCTACATGTCGTCATTTTCGAGAATACTGGGAGATGAAGGGTTTGAATTGTTCGAAGGACTGATATGAAGTTCCGTTAGGTATGGAGTCGGTGGCACAGTATATGGGCAGGTGGATGGAAGTGGAATTGACCGATGGGAGGCTTATACGCGGTCAAATGATGTGTACGGATAGGCGGCCTAATTTCATCCTTGGCAGGTATAGATGAAGAGAATTACAGTATAAGTGAATCGAAAGCATTACTTTTACGAAGCTTGTTTGCTGACCAGCATAATGGTTAGCTGTCCCTTTCGCTTTTTGCGCAACTTGCTTCGTAGATCCATAGTGGGGGTCAAAATAAAAATAAAATGTATAAATTCACTTGTATCAAATGAACATGTAAAGGTATACTCTAGTTCGCTGCGGACGGTTGGGCGTGTCAGGCAGTATGAGTGTGTCACGCCGTCAAAGCCGTTCTCTGCCTTCTTGTTGAAGCGCGACAAAAAGTGGTAGAAAACGAGTAATACGAACGATATGATACAGTCATATCATTTGCTCGCTTTAACAACTGGTGGAGAACGGGTTTGGCACCGCGCCAAACTCATCCCGCCTGACACGCCCAACCGTCCGCAGCGAACTACATGCTGAACACACCCCGAAAAGAACGATGAAGCCATCATCAGATACTTACGAGGATACGACGAACAGAGGGCGTGATCGGATGAGTTCTCGGTCTTCCCCTTTTCAGGGTCACGTTCGCTAATGGACCCTTATCAGTCCATTGTCTTTCCGCAGTTAAAGGCACTGCAGACGTTTACCTGTTATGCAAACGCGTTCCAGGACAGGGTTGTACGGTCCGCAAGCACAGAATATGTCAATTCAACAACTTAGAAACATGGTAGGGATCCTAGACACTCGTGGAGAAAACAGTGCGCCGCCTACTTCCCTATGCTAAACCCGACGTCCCTTTTCTGTCCACTTCGTAGCGGTACCGTTGGAATAAAGGGAAAACCTTACAATCTTTTATGGCACCTAACAAATGAGAACTCGTCCAAATACGCCTTCTAACATGTGCTCGTACCGGTAAAGCATTCCGAATGGTTTTCTGGTTCCTAATGGCTTCCTCTCCATTAACTTTGCACATTATGCCACAGGCAAGAAAGACGCCGCGCGAAGGGCTACGTCTACCCAATTCGGACGCGCTATTTGTGTGCACCCTCTCTAATTTGGCTGGGCATCACTGTCTTTTTCAACTCTTTGGCTGCATGCTTGGGCAGCATGCCAACACAGTCATCGCTGGATCTCTGTTCTATCATGTGGCGCAGCGATGTTAGCACGGTGCCTAAGTGCATTGGAAAACTGGAAATTCTACAGCTTTTGATAGTTTGCAGCCAAGATATTTTCAGATCCGAAGAGAGATGGTCAGGTGAGACGGGTGAGCCAAGAGCGATTGGTCTTGCAATGGTTGGACGACAGCATGTGGTTCGTCTCAGTCTTCTACCCAACCCTCCTCAGCCATCAAACAGCGACTCATCGTTCACGTAAACTCTTCATC